AATAACTAACACAAGGGACCTAATCTAAGAATATTTTCATCGGGGTGACAACACATGCTGCGGGGTTCCTCAGCAATATAAGTCAAATAAGGCAACCATGAGGGGGATGGAATACATCGAATGAACACCCAAGTTCATTAACACCTACAGGTTATGAGCCTGCTAGCGTTCCACTGGACTGTCTAGAAAAGTCCGTGGTCGTCATCTAAATTCCGCTAGATGACTGGATCAAAACAACAACGAGGCCTCTCATCTGTTTATTACACTCCAACTATCTACCCATGTTCTACCCAACATATTAGTAGATAAAAACATACATTTTTATACATATTTTCAAAACCTGTATAGCATGCTTGATCAATACATTTTCCATATAACAGATGAGGCACACACACATAACACGTATTTCATATAGAAATAATCATATCTGTAAGATAGAAGAAAGTGAATATACATTCACACACATAACAACAAAATATACACATAACACGTATCTCGTATAAAATACTTCATAGTTATACGTTATGAGAAAGTAACAATGCATTCACACGTATAAACGACAATAAACTTAATACACTCGAACCATACTTGTATTATTATTGCGTTTATGAAAGGTAATATACACTCACTTGATCAGAAGATGATCGGACAGCACTACGGCTTGCAAAAGTCGTAATCCTCTGCAGATCTGGAAGATCTCTACGAAAATCGAACTTCTCGCGGGCAGAGCTTCGGCTCGGAAACCACACTTCTCGGGATCTTCGGGATCTCGGGACTCGGGAATATTACCGGGGCTTCGGGGGTAAAAACGCAGAGCTTCGGCACAAAAACGAGAGGAAATTAGCAATTAAACCCGGACCCCTCGCATCCTATTTATAGGAGGCAGGAAGCCCGAGTTACGCGGGGCGTACAGCAGTATGCAGCGCGTGCTGCTTCCGAAATGCGTCATCGCATGCGTCATCCGAAGTGTCGACACTTTGGCTGTACGAGGGGGAGTACGCGGCGTGTACCTTGGATCAGATCTGTGACTCCCCCTTCGGATAATGCCGGATTTTTGATTTAAAAATAAATACAAATTATTTATCAAACTTCGGAAATTCATATCTTCTTCATACGAACTCCGTTTTCGACGTTCTTTATATCCACGGAAAGGTGAGACTACGCTCTACAACTTTCGTTTAGACTCCGTCGGCTAATTTTGACTTTATTTTTATTATTTATTTTTAATAGGCCGAGACAGAAAATTTCGTTATAAATTCATAACTTCTTCGTTTGACGTCCGTTCTCGCCTAACTTTTTATCGCTTTGAAACTAACAACGAGATCTTCGATTCTCATTTAGATCACTAAGGCTAAATATCGCTCTAACGTAAATTTCACTTTTTACGTTAATCAGCGGTGCCGGTTCTGTCGCGAAAGTTCGACAGGTCATAACTTCCTCGTTATAACTCGGATTTCGGCATTCTTTATATCTTCGGAAACCTTGTTTTAACTACTACAACATTATCTAAATATATCAAGTTTATTTTACAGTTAAATTTTTTACGCTTATTTTTATTCTTAATTAATCAAACCACATAATTAAGCAATTAAGCACAAAACACGTAATACTCAAATAATACAATCTTATTATTTCAAAACGGGTTACAAAGGTTAACCTAGACCATTACATTGCTAAAAATGGCAAGCCCAGAAACACAGGCGTTACAATTACGTACTTTCGTTCGGTTTATGGTTGTCTTGGAATATATCTATTCTGGTTCATTGTTGAGGCAATGGGTTTGATTGTGTATGGAGGATATTGTAAGTTATATATAGAGAGGGTACGGTTAAACAAAAACTATCCATATTCTATCTAACTTCTAGTGAAATTATAATATGATTACTTGGAAGAATGACTAATTATTAACTAACTAAAATGGTAATTGTTATAACAAGATTGTACTACGTTTGTGAGTTATACAATAAAAATACATCGCAAAGATTGGTAAAAATATAAAGCCTTTGCACATGCCTGCCTTGGATTGGAAAACTAGGTTTGTCCTAATTAATAGTCCAACCTACACTGCACGCAATGTTGAACTTCGCAGATAAACATCCCTACAGGGACAAAATTATGCACAGCACCATATATAGTGGACAATTTTGTTTTTGTATTATATTGGTCAAATCAGTTGAAACAGCATCTGCAATTATTTTATTTTATGAAAATTAAAGGGAAATTGAATGTCTAAGATATATGCTTTTGAAAAACGTAGAAGAACATCTTGTCAATTCAGAAAAAAAAAAAAAAAAAAAAAAAAAAAAAAAAACTTTGACTACTACGTAGGCTTGTTGTTGAGCCAAATTCTATATCAAACACAATCCATGTGCTTTGCTATTCATCCCGCAGTATTCAGTACCATTGTAAGAAGTTACTCACAAACTGAAGAAGAGAATGAAGAGCTTCTGTTTTCTTTTAGTATTGGTTTGGTTCTCCTGGCAGCAGCAACTTCATTAGAGATATCGAAGGTTGAGAGTACTTGCAAACCAAGCGGTGGTATAAGGGGAAAAAACCACCTCATGGAAAATGCAACCGTGAGAATGACTTGGTTTGTTGTGTTCAAGGTAAGTTTTACACCACATACACATGCTCGGCTCCGGTGACAAGTGAGACAAAAGCAACACTTACATTAAACAGTTTCCAAAAAGGAGGCGATGGCTGTGGTCCATCAGAGTGTGACAAAAAGTACCACTCTGATGACACACCCGTTGTGGCATTGTCAACTGAATGGTATAAAGGAGGGGACAGGTGCCACAAGTACATTACCATTAATGGAAACAGGAGGAGTGTGAAGACAATGGTTGTGGATGAGTGTGATTCTACAATGGGGTGTGATGCCATACGTGACTATCAACCACCTTGCCCTAATAATATCGTTGATGCTTCCAAAGCTGTTTGGAAAGCCTTAGGGGTATCCGAAAGTAACTGGGGAGATTTGGATATTACTTGGACAGAATGATATGTGAATCTCTAGCTTCTTGTAAAATGTCAAAAACCAATATTTGTGTTTTTCATTCGTGTGAATATTGTAATATCTTGGAAAGGTGTTTATGTAACTAAATTGGGTATTGTATTCTATACGAATTGTGGGGTGTAATTTGTAATAGAGGTGAACATACGGATCTACGAGACTTTTTTTGTCTTGGACCAGTTACTTGTCACTAAAATCAGAAGGTGGTCCGAAATCATATAAGATGCGCGCTTTTTAGTCAAACCAATTTTTCAATGGGCCTTTATTTTTGCATTGCACGGTTTTTTTATAGTAATAAATAAATAATGCATCATATACAAATACAAAAGCTAGATTATTATAATAATAATAATCTAGATTTTTAAATAACACAGTTTCGAAGGTTGTATGCATTAAACTTTTATTTTAGAACATCCTTCAAGGCTTCAACTTATTTTTCTTGTTAGCCAACTTTTTTTGTTTCAAAAGATCAAGCATACCCAAAACAATGAAGTAAAAAAGTTAGTGATCGAAATTACAGCTTCTAATAATAAACATCAAGAGTTATATATCGTGAAGTAGCATTTTTCATATAATAGCAGATCTATTAAAATATATTAGGTTTTAGTTTTAGTTAACTTAATAAGTAGGTAGTGAGAAAGTTGTGTTTACTTCCCGGTTAAGTGTCTAGGACAAAATTTTGATGATGTTTGTTTTGGAAGAAGTAAATGTATTCAGTCTTTTTTCATGTTTACGGATAAGATATGGACACTTTTTTCCCATGTCTTTAGTCTTAATAAAAAAATTATTTGTTTTTTAAAATCTTCTATAAAAAATAATAGTGATGGTAAAACTTTCTCAAAAAAAAAATTATTGTATGCTAAAAGAAAATAATAGTATAATATAAGTTCTTTTAACAAATAAGATAATATATATTGTTTTGAATCTGAATTTTAGCATCAGTCATAATATATAAATTTTCAGGATTGATAAAAAAGAGAGCACCTGATTATCTTCTTTTTTTTTTTTTTTTTTTTTTTTTTTTTTTTTTTTTTTTTTTTGCAAGTGTTCTTATGGAATGATATTTTTGATAGACTATCTGCTATTCAGAAGTTTAAAACTTCAACAGACATGGTTGAGAATAAAATCTTTTTTATATATTTACGTTCTGTTTATTTCTAAGGATTGACAATCCTTATGTAGCATGTTACATATATGCATCTATTATTGATACCATCAAAAAACAACACGACAAACTATTGCTAGTCAATTACACATATATATTAATTTTTACTAGCCATATCAAACACGTTTATAGACTTAGGACACTGGACACACATTCACAACTATATGACACACATACTATAAGATACATCACAATTATTACATTTTTTATATCATAATTATTACGAAGTATATTTTTAATAGGTGATGGTATCGTGCTTGAACAGCATACTGATACTTGATGTTCTTATCTCTTACCCCGGATTATCAAAAGTTGAACTTCATTGTGTGTGTCATTGTTCCATTATTGGTGTTTCTTCTAGATTCTTGGTGGTGGTGGCGGAGGTGGCGCAAGTAGGGCAGAGGCGGTGGTGGCTCTCACTAAATTAGCACGAGAACCTTATTTGATTTTTACTCGGAACAGAAGCCACGAGTGGGTCTCCCTAAATTGTATTCTAGTGATTATAATAAACGTTTATCTTATACAATGACTCAAATTTTATAAATCTAACTTAGTGTAAAAGTTAATATTTCATCATTAATGTCGATAGCATTATTATTTGCAAAAAAATTAACAATATTGTTCTATTATACGCAAAATGTTATCTAAGTTAAAGCATGTTACATTTGGATTTTGAGTTGGGGAAAAGTGATAATTTATATCATTATCATATCACATTCACATGTATCATGTAAAACAATAAACAACCGTGGAAATATAACAAAAAGAAAAAGGTAAAGAGACGAATGCAATAAAAAAAACAAATTTGATATAAACATAAGGTCAAATGGGCCTGAAGAGAAAGTAAATTACATTAAAAACACAGAGCTTTATGAACAGTCACTATATTTTTCAACTAAACTAAATAAATTTCATGGTCAAAACTCACGAGTCAGTACTTCCAATTGTTCTTTGTTTGCGTCTTCGTTTTCTTCTAAAGAATGGATCCACCCAGTTTGTGTCATCCTTTGCTGCTTTTTCCCACCGCTGTTTGAACGTTTTTAGCTCCATTGTTGATTGCCTCCTAATCTGCATCCCATATGTGCTTAAATTCATACTACAAACATTTACATTTAATAAAAGTTTCCAAGCATTTTCAAAAAGATAAATCGCCTTACCTCAGCTCGCATATCAACAGTGTGTCTCTGAAGAAAAAGAAAAAAAAAATGAAAACATAAAATATAACTGAAGTGGAGTTAAATTGAAAGCACTAGGGATTTGTACCTTTGTTAAATCTGAATCATATGGAGTCTACAAGAAAAAATAAATCACAATGTAATTAAATTAATCAATAAGTGAAATGATTAAATGGAATTAGTTAAGAGGAAACCTTTTTGGCAGAGGGTCCGCCTAATGATTGTATTCCCTGATGAACAACATATTCTCTGTCAACAATTCCCACTTTCTTGGATCTGTCCCCCTGAATGAATAGTAAGTAAATTCATCAAAATCTATAGTATGATGAAATTATAAACAAATACAAAAAACATGGTTTTATTGGTTGAAAGTTGAAACTTACCTGAGCACAATACCCGAGTTTTATATCCATTCCCCATCCATGAACAAGGTCATTCTGAATAAGATGCCAAGCACAATGCCATGCAGCCCTGGAGAAAACCGGAGCCATTCCTTCCACAAATCTGCAAAATTTAAATATCACATGTCTTGTTATAAAAAAATAAAAAGTAAAAGTATGTTGGTATTTTCTGCAACTTACCCGGAACATGGTGGGCCATTACTGGCATCTGAACATTTCACACTGCCTCTGCTGTCGTACACTCTTCTGTTTATTTAAACAAGTTATGGGCGTATTAAGAATAATTAATAGTTTTACGAGTATAAAGTGGAAATAATTAAATATTCTCACCTATGAAATTTACTTGTTCTTTTTCGTACTGTGATCCTATGATGTATACCAGTTGAATTTGGATCTAAGGCTGGCTGTGATATCTCGAATCCTTCCGTTCTAACAATATCCAAGTATCTGAAAAACATGTCATATAATAATTTACTACTGCCATTTTTCTCAACAAAAAAAAAAATCAGTATCTTTAAAGTAGTAGGGATTAAATGCAAGAAACAGCAATGTAGTTTCATATATTTGTTTATTTAGATTTAAGCATCCTATTATACCTTCGGGGATTAAAATGCTGCACACCAAGATCTTCATCCCAAAGAAATATATAATCATAAATAGACACTGCAGCTGGATGCAGAAATCGTTTTGCAAACCACCTGAAATAACTTTGCTATTTAATATACATTACAATCTCCTAATAAGAAAAATAAATTTGACTCCTTACCATTTTGTTTGGTTTTGAGCTACAACATGTATGGCATTGTTGCTCCACTCAAGATCTTGCCAACCATCCAACATTCCATCATAATGGAACAACACAATTGTAAAATTTTCTTCAAGAAACTGAAATTATCAATGTCAGGCTGCTGCTATTATTCACAAATTAAATATCCACATATGGATCATATAAAATTTTTGATTCATCATTCTACCTTTTGAACAATTGTATTCACATTACGCTTCTGTTTCAAACCCACTGGAATTGCCAGCAAGTTATGTGTAGTGGAAATATTAGCCTGCAAGCATAAATTTTACTTATATTTCTTTACCCAAAATACAAATATAGTACTTAGTTTATGGAAATAATTACAGTTAAAAATTGTCTAACCTCTGACTTTGAATTACTTGTTGACCATAAAGGTTTTAATTCCAGGTCTGATTTAGCTTCAATAATACCACGAGGTAAACCCTTCAAGCTTGTGGAAGCTGACACAGTTTCCTAAAAACCACATTAGTATATTAACACAAATCAGAGGACAAATAAACACAACCCATGGTCATATTTTTAAACAGATTGTTGTGAGCTGCACCTTTGACGTGTAGAACCGATATAATTTTGAGTCCAGCTGATGACACAGACAAATAAAAAAGTATTAGTTAATTAGTTTTAGTCCAATTAACAACACAGTCATTGGAAGTATGTTACCTCTGTCTCTAAATACTGATAATTGGTTGTTCTATATACAATGTATAACATTATTGTACAGACAACTCCCATGAATGATTTCATCTTGAATCTGCTAAGTTCCTGCATATTTAATAACTCTGTATGATGAGAGTTTAGAATCCCTTTTGCAATGTCAACAACGTAGATTTACAGAGTTTGCCTCGGAATAAAACTGAATTCAATTAAATAAGCTTACCCAATCAAGAAGGATGTGTCTCTTCTTCAATAGATTCCTCCATGGTTTGGATTCTCTCATAGACAGATACTGTTCTTATATGTTCTCATGCCAAACTGCAGCCATTAAATTGAAGAAAACATCAATAACATTTGACACCTTTGTAATAAATGAGCACACAGATAATTATCAGTGATTCAGAATCTTCAGCTAGACTGTTAAAGCCGTTATGCATTTATTATGGTATACGTTTCTCAAGGAAGTCAGGTATTGAGCTTTGGCAGGATTTATGACAGAGCCACAATAAGCTCTTAAGCAAAAGACAATAAAACATCATATGTTTGCTGTTGCACATCACTTTCAAGTCAAAATATTAACAGTTTGAAACTTCTTGAAAAGTAATCAGCCCTGATAATGCAGTATTAGGTAATCTTGATACGTTTTTATGAAAATTCTAAACCAATAAAGAACATACGACCAATTTGTGTGTATTAAATAAACCATGTAATAACTTCTTCTGTTTCTTTTGATATAGAAAACCGTGAGTTTGACCATCAAATGTCAGACTTAGATATTAACGGCAAATAATACAACAGTATCAGCTAGTAATCCTTGAATTTAGAGAGAGAAAGAGAGAAGATTGATGAATCAATTTAGTAGGCTTTTCAACAATTGGATCAATTTGCGTGTACGCCGTAAACCTTACTCAATATGTGAAAATTTCGAGATGCAAATTGTCTGCATGTGACTCCTAGAGAGAGAGAGAGAAAGAGAGAAGGAGAGGGACACACGCACATAAAAACAATTGTACACTTATTATATATAAACAAAACACTCGACCTATCAAGAATTTGAAATAGAAAGGCTGAAAAACAGCACAAGATATCTAGCTTTAACTAGACGCCAAAGAAAATCTCCTTCTAATCGAACTCTGTATTTTCTCGATATCTTTTCTCGTATCAACTCTTAGAAATCGATTTAAGCAAACAAAACGAAATACACACATTCAGGAAGGTGATTTAATCAACGATTCCGGAATTCGGATGACAAATCTCAATCGAAAATTACTATTCACACTAGATATTGTCCTTTCACACGAATCGATAGATCTCTGGTACATATATTTTGACGGAATCCAATCAGAGACTTGAATACTTAAAAACAACATAAGAAACACCGACCTCCGAGATTTGCAGATAAATCAGTAAAGTGAAATTGAAAATCTTAGCAGCTGAAGTAAAGCTCGGGGAAGAACAAATCACCAGCGATTGGAATCGGTATTTCCGCGAGAGTCAGATTACGCGAATTTAGCTCCGTGTATTGTTTCTGACTATAAATATACACACAGGATTTCTAGAGAGAGAAAGCGAGAGTTTTAGAGAGAGAAAGAAGGAGAAAAGTGTAGTAACTTGGGATTTCCACGTTTCACGGCAAAGAGATTTTATATGCATGCGTGTACCTCACCGATGAGGATAGATATTGTAAATTTGGGTCCTTGTTTCTTTCTTTTTTTTTTTTCCTTTTTTTTTTTTGCATTAAATACCTCGTACTTAAATCTAAATTCACCATTTGGAGGATACACAAAAACGTCTTCTATAATCAATTTGCAAGTTTGATCCTTAGATTATTCCTATTTTTTAATCTCAGCTTAAAATAGCCATAGCTAGTGTTGCAAATATAATCATTGGAAGGTGAAAATGTAAGCAGTTATATAGGGATGACAATCCTTGATCCAACTTGTAACCCGACACCCAATCAACACGAAAATAAACGGGTTTGAATTGAGATTTTTGACCCGCCAACCCGTTTATTTCATGAGTGAGTTGGGTTATCTGTTTGGGTTCATGGGTCAACCCGCCAACCCAATTATATATAACATATATAATGTTTAAAACATATATTTAATTATTTATTAGTTTTGAATATTTGATTATCGTTTAATTGTTTTTCGATTCCAAAACTGCAAAACATCTTCGAGTCGACATAGCGTGCTCTAGCCCCTAAGAAACCCCTAATAACAAAGAAATTCAGTCTTCAGTCTCCAAACTCACAACTCCATGTCTCCCGTCTCCATCGATTGAGGCATTGAGTCATCGACTGTCGCAGTGTCGCACGCACACCACTCGTCTTCTCGTCCTCCGGCTGTCACACACCACTCGTCGTCGTCACTCTTGTTTATGACTTTATGTTGAATATTTAAGACTTTATAACTTCATTTTATTTGTATTTTTTAATTTCATTTTAAAATGTGTTGCTTATTATATGGGTTGAGTTCGACCCACAAACCCACGAATTCATATACTTATACGGTTATATGGGTTGGCTCGGGTTGATGTTTTCAACCCGCCAACCTACCAACCCATATATTATATGGGTTGGGTTGGATCAATATATTTCGACCCGTCAACCCGTGACCCGCCAACCTGAACTCAACCCAATTGTCAGACATAAGCAGTTATGTTTATTTTCATCAATTTGTCTTTTACAATAACAAAATAAAAAAATCAGTAGAAAAATACTTCAATTTTGTCATATGTTTGTACAAGATGCAATATAAGTTGTATTGTGATCATAAAAATATTCGAACACTTTACATAGAAATATTTAAATTGTGACGGCGAAGATAGATTAAACTGATCAACGATTACGATTGCAAAATAATTTATCACGTTGTAAAAACAAACATCAGCTAAGTTTGAAAGTGCATAAAGATATTATACAAAAGATATAAAACAATAATTAGACATCAAACCTAGTGTATAAAAGTGTAATCTTAAAAGACAAAAGTTCATAAATTGTTCCTGTAGTATGTTGAATTCTGAAGTTTAGTCTTTAACTTTAAAAAACCTCACAGATTGTCCATTTGGTTTCAAAACTTTTGATGTTTGATCCTTATTATCCACCCGTCATCTTTTATCCGTTAACTGAATAACATTTTCTTTATTTCACTACCTGAATGACCATTTATGAACTTTTGCATATATATATATATATATATATATATATATATATATATATATATATATATATATATATATATATATATATATATATATATATATAGGGTTAGGTTCATGTAAGACAGCCTAATTTTGACCGTATGACGCAATCCTAACCATTCATTTTGTAGATAAAACAAGAAACATTTTTTAAATGCAAAATATTGAAATTTTTCAAAAAAAAAAAAATCAAATATTATTTTCGGAATTTATATTTTCCAAAAAAAATATAAAAATATAAAAAAAATACATTTTTTACATATTCTAGTAGAATAAATAGAATATTCTATATATCTGATAAATCTAGTATAATATTCTAACATTATTTTATTAGAATATTTCACGTATTTTAAAAAAATATATTTTTTTAGGTAATTAAAGTTCCGAAAATAATAATTAAAAATTTTTTTTTTGGATTGTTCCTTTTATTTTGCATTATAAATATTTTTAGATTTGGTCTCACGGTCTCACAAAATTAGCATGGTTTCAAATGAACCTGAACATATATATATATATATATATATATATATATATATATATATATATATATATATATATATATAATAATAGTAATAATAATAAAAGGGTCCTCTCTCTTTCTCTCTCTCACACACAGACACATGTAACTCATATGTGATCACTTGTTGTAACATCTAAAAAATAAGACCCGGAAATTTCATTTTTAATTTAATAAAATCAATATCCCAAAAACATCATCATAAAAATCCAGATAAACAAATTGTATTGATACATCATCAATCATCAAAGTAAATCACAAAATGCAGAAACATGTGGTGTGTGCTTTGCAATCATCTCAAGCTCTTCCATTTAGAACCATAAGTACCTAAAACAAAAACTGAAAATCATAAGCACAAAGCTTAGTGAGATTCCCAACACACCACATACCATACATAAATAACATAACGGGCCCCGCCCGAAGAGTGTATCGGGTCCCACCCACACTCGCATAATAGGCCCCACACACTGAATATAATGGGGCCCACCTACTGAGTATAACGGCCCTGCCCAAACTCATACAACTGGCCCTGCCCACTGAGTATAATGGGCCCCGCCCAAACTCGCATAACTGGTCTCGCCCACATACAAATCATACAAGCATAACAAGATACTAACATACAAAATAACCATTAGGCCCCTCCTGGTAAGCGTACAGTCACATACACATTCAAGAGTCATGCAAACATCTAGGCATCTAGCATCCTACATAACAATTGATGGGCTGACATTGGTGCCTTATACCCGTTAAACATGGTGAGGAAACTCACCTCACACCGCTGAATCTCATAAATAAGTCCCTAGCCGTTGGCCCGGTAAAAATCCTCGCGCTATTAATCACAAATAAATCCAATTAATAATTGGATTCCAATCTATAACCAACAGTCTAAATTTGGGTAAATGACCATGTTACCCCTTACCTAGCTTGGTCCAAGACTAAGGCCCAAACCTACCATCCAAAAGACCAAGGCCCAATCATGGCCTAAATTTCCAAATTGTTCCCGAATTCAGATTTATGACGACTAACAACAGACTACAATTGAACACATCAATTTAGTCCCGGCTTGGCCAAGCGCTTAGGTGCCATCACTAAATCATTGAGGGGCCCACAAATATCGTTTTTATCCTACTTTAGATAAAAGGAACGGATAAACTTTGACTCAATGCTCGCTTGCACTCACTCACCAAATCACACACAACAATATGTTTTATAACACCAAGTTACTGGTGCGTTTACATATTATGAATGTGCAACCGACTCGCAACATACAACTCACACATCTCGGTTTCAAGAATATAAGATGTTATCGTCTCACCAATCACTCGTGATAAAATCCATGAAGTGATCCAAGTGAGCGTGGGTTTAATCCAATGCTCAAATCATATTCATAAGCACTCATGAACGTTGCAGCAAACATTTGCTTATGTTTAATGCTCTTTAGACAATCTACACACCAATTCACGACAGTCTTCATTCATACCTACTTCCAACATATGAACGACTGTGGCCCGTTCAAATAATTTGACTGTTCTTAACCAATTAAATTATTCAGGAAGTCAAAACATGCAAGGTGAAACACAAGAATAATACTATTCCCATATGGCCTCAAACCTTTGAGTATAAATAAAACACCTTTTATTTATCACCATATCGATTACTCATTATTTGTCGTTTCGGGTAATCAACTTCTTACTTGAACTATAACTACACTTGTCCCATGCTCTTAGCATGCACACAATGTTTACCTATGGTCCTTACTTTGTGAAATAGATCAAATAAACACATTTCCAATCATACTCATTTCACAACTCCCAATCCTTATCACAAGTGTAAGAATATCAAATTCTTGCCACTTATAGAATATGCTAGATTCTAACATTTTATGCAATGTTCCTTTTGTAATGTCACTGCACTAAGGTCACAATGACTATTGCCAATGAATTACAAAGCTCTCCATCGGAAATTGTTCCAAGACAATTCCATAGATGTTATGTCTCTCACTCAAAGTACATTCCTTTGAACATCCTTTTGCATAAAGTTTCTAATCTAGACATAGATTCTCAATATCTAACACCCAATATGGAAACCTTTCCATACTTACCATACCACAACTTATTCTTAATAGAATCTTATCTATTCATAATAATGTCGATATGATCCATCCAATATCATACTTCCAACTACTTACAAGCGACCAATCCTCAGCGAACTTTAGATCGTCCTTTGATAGTTGTTTAATTATCTTAATCAAAACCGATTCTTGTCCTTTTCCCTTTTAATGTGCTAGACATTTGAAAAAATTTAGAATGGTCAAATATTATAGCATTTGCAATCGATCTTATACCTGAAGCGTATGGGACATGATGCATAATGTCTTACATGAAGATTTAATACTTTATCAATCTTCTGCCATAATATTTTATGTGCTACGTTCTCATAATTCGAACTATGAAGAGGAATGCCGTGATCATAATCGAAATTTAAGAACACACTATGTATCTTTGACCAAAAAGTATTAACATTCCACAACCTAAGCCTTTAGATTTGAAATGAAGCATAATATTCTCTCCATTAATTATAGAAAAACAACTTTACATCCTTACTACTTTGCAAAGTATGACTCTTGTTTTCTATAATTAATACTACTAACTTGCAATACTTGACTTAATAATCATACCAGCACAACTTTTATGCTCCCACTATCATGATGATTATTATCAAATAAGCACAACACTTATGCTTCCATTAGCATCAACATGTATTTAGAAAACAGCTTAACTTACAGAAAAACAATACCTATTGAATTTCTTAAGTTCATATTTCTAATACTTAATGCTTTGATAATCTTTTATCAAAGCTTCTTAATCTCATACACCTTTGTCTAAGATAACTCATATGT